GAATATTCTCTAATAAATGGATCCTGATCCATAATGGAAGGGAGAATCTAGGAAAAATGGAGTTGCTTTGATGGGGTAAAGGGGAGGGTGGAGAGGGGAGGGGCATGGGGACAGGAAAGATGGTGAAATGAGATAGACATCATTACCCTAGGTACACGTGTGACTGCACATATGGTGCGACACTATCCTGTACGAGTAGAGAAATAAAAAGTTATGCTGCGATTGTGAACAATCAGTCAAACTGAATTCTGCTGTCATGTATACCTATTAAAATTAATTAATTAATTAATAAAAAATCCCAGAACAGGGTTGGAAATGTGGCTCAGGGATGGAGTCCTTGGGTAGCATGCACAAGGTCTTGGGTTGGATCCCCAACACACACACACATACACACACACACACACACACACACACACACACAGCATCACCACCATCAAACAAAAATCACTCCAGCACAATGAGATCTGATAAACTTCAGAGTTGTTGAACACATGGAGCTGCTGGGAGGGTGATGTGCTCCGAGCAGGCATGGAAGCTCGGTACCCCCTCCTTCTTCCCTTTACATCTCTCAGGTTTGCTCCATAAACATCTCTTACATCTTATAAACAACAAATGGACACCTAAGTCAAGTATTTTACCTATGAGATCTTCTAGCAGATTGTCAAACCTAAGGAAGGTGTCATGGAAACCTCTGGTTCAGAGCCAGTCAGAGAGAAATGTGGACAACTTAGAGACCCAGTACCTATGGTTGGCATCTGAAGTAGGAGAGTACTGAGACTCCTGGCACTGAGTCCTTAAGCTGTGGGCCGGGCACTAATTCAGAGTGGTTAGTGTCAGAACTGAGTTAGATTTAATGGCTCCTACTTAATATCCAGAGAGCTGGAGAATTGATTGGTTTTAGAGAATATATCCAGAGGAAGACAGCCCGTAAGGAAAAGTACTCATCTAGGCAGACTTACTACGGCCCTTGGAACTTAGTTCTGCTTAGGAAACTGTGGCAGCCAAGGGAAAATATACACCCCAGAATTCTGCTGCTCAGTGGGCAAAGGAGCTGGGTATTTATATACCAGTTTCTGTTGGTCATTGGTTGAAGACCGCTGCAAGAGGACATCCATTCCCTGGTATTTCGTGTCTGTCCCTTGAGTGACAAAGAGCACTCAGAGCTCACAGTATCCCTTCAGTATGGGAAACTGGCAGTCAGGCCAGTATGTATGGATGTGACAGGGCACCCACAGCCCAGCTCCATCTCCCTTGGTGGAATTTCTGCCCACACCTCCCTTAGTATGCTCAGGCTATAGACCTTGATTAGAATCTTAGGTTACTTGCAAAGCTTGTTGCCCTGGGAGACACTTTAGATTTACCCTGAGTTGTAGTGGCTGGATCCATGGGTTTGGGGATAGCTGTTGAAATTCAACAGGAAAGTCTTGGCAGGAGAGGAAGCGAGATGTGTTTATGTGGGGAAAGGTAGGAAGAAGATGCTGAGCAATGTCCCTGTTCCAGAGAGCTACCACTGAGGACAGAAAGAAATCACACAAACCAAGTCATTATTTGTCCACTTCTGGTAGCAGGGCTCCGAATCAGGTGATCACCCACCAGGTGTAAGAAGATGTGTTTGTGTGTATTTATGTGGGTGTGCACATGTGCATGCCAGAACACGTGTGATATACGGACATACCCAGAGAGGGGACCCAGAGATGAGAATTTATTTTGTTTGTGTTTTGCATTAAGCTCCATACCTTAACGCAACCTGTGGTTCCCCCTCTTTCCTCTTGTTTTAAGATGCTAGGCTTTAAGTTCAGTTTGAAGCCACAAACTTGTCTCTGAAAACCAACATTCCAAGTGTAAAGACTCCAAGAGAATTATTTTAATGAAAAAAACACGAGGACTCCTTTAAGAATTCAGCTGATTATCTTGAACATAACCCATGAGGCTTTTCTGTGATCTCAGTTTTCTCCTTGGCAGGGTTATTTTGGGGAATAAAATCAGCATGTGTGAGGTTAGATTTCCAGATTGTGTTAAGAGTGAGGAAAAAAAAATCAGATTTAGCTCTTTGTGAATTTGTCGGTAGTCTTTCCTTGGGACAATCAGTGCTTACAGCCCTCTTTGGATGTATGTAGGCTTTCTGTGTCATCCAAATGGGGACATGTGTAGATTACATTGTACGGTACGTACCCATGTATCCATGTGGAATCCTATGGAACATTTTAGAATCTGCAATTTTCTTTTGTTTTGATTGGCTTGTCATCCAAACCTTTTTTCCCCATTCATTTCCGGCTTCCTGAAGACCATTAGTATATCTTGAATTTGTTTTATATGCAATAGAAGTCTGGTCTTCTTTGGTCTCTGTACCCCACCATGTCTGGCACAATGTAGGTATACGATAAGTATTTTTCCAGTTATTAAATGTATATAATTTTATTCTTTCTTTAGGGATACAAAATGCAGTTCTTAACCCTAACTTCCATAGAAGATATTAAGAAACAATAGGAAATGCTCACTAAGATATAGATGGACTGTATAAAGACCCATTGAGCTGGGCACAGTGGTGCATGCCTATAATCCCAGCAGCTTGGGATGCTGAGACAGGAGGATTGAGAGTTCAAAGCCAGCCTCAGCAATGGCGAGGCGCTAAGCCACCCAGTGATACCCTGTGTGCTGTGGATGCTGATTAGAAAATCATTGGCTTTCATAGTCTTTTGAGGTCTCTTAGGAAATTAATATCATTGTCTATTTCTTGCATTCTGAAAATTTGCACACTTGAAAAAAGTCACATTCATCTTGCATTGATCTTTCCTCAATTCCGCGTCTACCTGTTCTTTCTAATGTTCAATGAATCTTGGTTGCAGTAATCACATTATCCACAATTTGCCAAGTCAGTTCTTCAGTCATTTGCCCAGTGAATATTCTGGAATGTTCTTACCTGTGCCTTTCAACTGTGACGATTTGAAAAGCCTGCTTCAGACTCAGTTTACCCACTGGTCAGTGATCAGTCCCTATTTTCAAGCAGGCGATACGATATTAGCCAAGCCAGTGAAGTGGGCTTTGGGGTGAGACTTGCTGCTTTGGTTTTGGAATCTCTTTCCCCCCGGGGGTACATGTCCACTTAGCCGTGGCATGGCTCTCTGTACCTAGCATGTGTGGCTTGACCTTGCCTGATTTCCTCCTCTGATTAGTATTTATATTCTTACTGGAAATACAATCTACTCAGGATTCAATTTATGAGTGGGGAACCTTGATATCTTACTTAAATCATGCTAGTTTCTTCTCCCAGGAACGGAACTGTAGGTAAATAACTCAAGATCAATGCCCTAGGAATGCATTTATCCCTGTAAACTATGCTCCCACAACCCATTGGACCTGAAGAATCGTCTGTGACTTTGTCACTTCAGTCTTGATGTTTCGTCATGCTGATTAAATCTGATCACCTCAGCTTTCTGTTTTTCTCTGGCCGTGTTTCTATTGACCCGTGCAATTGTTGATCAGTTTCTTCCCTTCCCTTGCTCTATGAGAGCTGTCCTGCCCCAGGCCAATTCCACAACACCTTCTGCCTTTCAGGTCTGCACTTTTGATCCTACCACTACTGCACAAGAGTCAGTTTTATACTTGGTCCATTTCCTTCATCCCTTGATTTTTCACCCTGACTTAGCTCTTTCTCATCAATTCCATTATAGAAGTTCCTTTTTGTCCAAGTCTACCCATCTTAACAAGAAATCATCTCAGTTTGATCTGTGTGTGTGTGTGTGTGTGTGTGTGTGTGTGTGTGTGTGTGTGTTTGTTGGGGGGAACCATGGATTGAACTCAGGGGCACTTGACCACTGAGCCACATCCCCAGTCCTATTTTGTATTATATTTAGAGATAGGATCTCATTGAGTTGCTTAGCACCTCGCCATTGCTGAGGCTGGCTTTGAACTCTCAATCCTCCTGTCTCAGCATCCCAAGCTGCTGGGATTACAGGCATGCACCACTGTGCCCAGCTCAATTTGGTCTTTATATAGTCCATCTATATTTTTCTGGGCATTTCCAATTGTTCTTAATATCGCCTATGGAAGTTAGGGTTAAGAATTTCGTCTCACTCCAGTCAGAATCACAGCACACTACAGGGACACAGCCACGTCAATGTTTATAGCAGCACAATTCACAATAGCTAAACTGTGGAGCCAACCTAGACGCCCTTCAATAGATGAATGGATAAAAAATGTGGCATATATACACACTTTAATATTACTCAGCATTAAAAGAGAATAAAATCATGGCATTTGCAGGTAAATGGTTAGAACTGGAGAATATAATGCTAAGTGAAGTTAGCCAATCCCAAAAAACCAAATGCTGAATGTCTTCTCTGATATAAGGAGGCTGATTCATAGTGGGGTAGGGTTGGGGTGGGGAGCATGGGAGGAATGGTGGAATTTTAGATAGGGCAAAGGGGAGGGAGGGGAAAGGAGGAGGCACGGGGGTAGGAAAGATGGTGGAATAAGACAGACATCATGACCCTAAGTACATGTATGAAAACACAAATGCTGTGACTCTACTTTGTGTACAACCAGAGACATGAAAAATTGTGCTCTATGTGTGTAATATGAATTGAATTGCATTCTGCTGTTATATATAACAAATTAGAATAAATAAAATTTAATTTTTTTTAAAAAAAACAGCCAACACACCAAAAAAAAATAGTCAAATACAAAAAAAAAAATAGAACTGAGTTTTTTATCCCTGAAGAAAGAATAAAATTATATATGTTTAAATGTTTAATAACTGGAAAAATACTTATTGTATACCTACATTGTCCCAGACACGATGGGGTACAGAGACCAGAGACAAAAGCAGAGCAGACTCCTATTCTCAGTGAAGTTGACACTCTGACAGAGGAAACAGTCACTAAACATGAACGCTTGGTCTCTCATTATTTATGAACCTATCTTTGAAAATTCATCTGTTCACTAAATTTTTTTCATAACCCTTAGAATCAATGCTCTCACACTTTTATGCTCCTCCTCAGGCCTGCACAGAGAGGTGAAGAACTGGAGTTGCCCAACCTGCCCTTCTGCAGCTGAGGTTGAACTTGGTTTGCCTTCTCGTTTCAGCTCTCCTGTTACAAGTAAGAACCCTTTTGTGGTTACTTCAGTGCCATGGTTTTTGCATTTCTATGATTTCACTGACCATTTTGCTATTTAAAATGACCCCTAAGCATGTTACCGACGTGTTACTTAGCTTTATTAAGTACAAGAAACCCGTGAGGGCCATTAGACAAAATATGAAAGTATGTATGTTAGAAAACTTCCACTCACTCATGGAAGTTAAGCGCTGCTGGCCATTCACTTCTAATCGATCAATAATATGTGTTAGATACAGGATCTTTAAACAGTCACACACATATTAAACAAGGTGATGGATCAAGTGGTTGATGACAACATTATCACCAGAGATGTGTTTCTCTTAGGAATGTACCATGGAGTATATAGTAGAGGGATTGAGCCTCACCTGAGGGGTTAGGAAAGGCTTCCCTAAGGAATCCAACACTTCAACTATAATGTGAAAGAGATGGAGAGATTGGCTGAGCTGAGAGTAGGAGGTGGAGGGAACAGTATCCATAGGAGGACCCTGATTCATTTGAGGCATAAAGTAAGACCAGTGTCAGTGTTGGAATGTGTGTTGTGGGCAGGGTGGTGAAAAATTAGGCTGTCGATGTGAACAGGGGACAGACAGTTCATGCAGAACATTATGGGTCAGGTTATGGATCTGAACTTTACTATAATTATAACAAGAAAGTAATAATGATTTTTAAAAAGTTTTTATTTGTTCTTTTAGTTATACATGACAGTAGAATGTATTTGGCCATACATACGTGGAGCGTAACTTCCCATTCTTGTGGTTGCACGTGATGTGGAGTTACACCGGTCGTGTATTCATATAGGAACATGGGGAAGTGATTTCCTGGTCATTCTATTGCCTTTCCTATTCCCATTCCTCTCCCTTCCCTCCATTCACCTTTGTCTAATCCAGTGAACTTCTGTTCTCCCCTCCCTACCGACTGATGGGTTTTAACTAGAGAACTGAGTCTTTTGCTCTTGAAAAGTGGATTAAAGTCATGCAAAGTGAATCTGGGGAGATCTTTCAGAGTCTATTTCAGGAGTCCCATAGGAGATGACAAGGGCTTAAATTGTGACAGTGGATACAGAGGGAAGGAGGAGACAGATTCATAAGTAACACATGGGGTAAAAATGGCCATATTCAGAGATTAGGGAGACGTGGGAGATGAGGGCAAAGAGGAGTCCAGGATAATGATGGTAGGAGCATCTGGGTAGATGCTGATGTCATTTATGAGCAGGGAGACTCTGGGGGAGGCCCATGGTTAGGGGTAACAATATCTTTTTGTTTCCAAACATGGTTGCAACAAGATCTTTCACCTACAAATTGCTTTCCAAGTATGACCTTGCCAATCTCCTATTAAAAGACAATATTAATTTCCTTACCCTTGAATCTAGGCTGCTGCTGCTGTGACCTACTTTGTCCATTAGAATTCAGTGAAAGTGATTGTTATGGTTTTGATATTAGGTGTCCCCCAAAAGCTCAGGTGTAAGACAATGCAAGAAATTTTAGAGGTGACATGATTGAGTGATGAGAGTCTTAATCTAATCAGTGCATTATCAATCCACTGATAGGGATCAACTGGACATTAACTGTAGGCAAACAGTGATTGACTAGAGAAGGTGGGTCACTGGGGACAGGCTTCAGGGTATATATTTGTCCCTGGTCAGCTGAGCTCTCTCTGCTTCCTGATCGCCATGTCCTGAGCTGCTTTTCTCTGTCACACCCTTCTGCATGATATTCTGCCTCACCATTGGGCCCAGAGCTATGAAGCTGACCATCTGTGGTCTTAGAACTCTGAAATGGTGAGCTAAATAAACATTTCCTCCTCTAATTGTTCTCTCAGGTCCTTTGGTCACAGTGGGAAAACAAAACTAAACTAAAACAGGGATTCTCTGTAGACCCAGAGACTGGCCCTTAAGAGATTTTCTGCTTCTGCCCCTTTGTCTTGGAGTGCTCTTTCTTAGAATCCAGTTGTCATCTGTAAAGAAACCCACACATGTATGTGGAGAAGCTCACAGAGGGGAAGCAGGACCCTTGGTGGATAGCCCCAGCTCACCTCAAGCTGGTGGTCAACATCAACCACCAGCCATGAGAAGGTTGCCCCTTTCCGTCTTCTTAGCACCCTACTGGCCCATGTGGAGCAGGAACCATTCAGATAACCTACACGATCATGAGAAACCACAATTTGCTGTATTAAACCATTACATTTTGGGGGTGGTTTACTTGTATAGGAATAGATATATCTGAAACAGAGGTACATAGGATTTTACTTTCAGTCATATACGTGAGATGCTGTGGGTCATTGAGAAGAAGATGACACCCGGGGAGTTGGCGTTAAAAATCTAGAATCAAAAAGTGATATCTGGGCTAGAGTTGTGAATGTGGAAGTTGCTAGCAATTCCATTGTGCTGAACTTTGAGAAAAATTACAGTTGGTAATGGTCAGATGAGGAGGTGCTCACAATGGAAATTCGGAAGGGGCCAACAGAGAAACTGTCTTGGTATCATGGAAGCCAAAAGCAGAGATTTCCTCCAGGAGTGTGTGTGTGTTCAGTGGTCATGTCAAAGAATAATGAGAAGTCCCATGAGTTCAAAAATCTCTCTTACTGATTTAGAAGTCTAGTGGTCATTGATGATTCACCCAAGTGATTTTCCAGAGAATTTCAATTTACCTAATTTACCTCTAACAGGACGGATGGGGTTTGATTCAATCCTTATAGTTATAATAACTGACATCGCACACTTAGTTTATGCGAGGTACTGCATTGTATTCTTCATGTATATTGTGTCACCTCTGATTTAACTGTTAGAACAATCATATTTGTCTTTGAGCTAACTGAAACTTAAGGAAATTAAATGAGTTCCCTAAAATTATTCCGCTAGTACGTACCTACACATCCTCCCTCTCCAACCCATCTAATTTATTGCTCCCAATCTGTTGAAGTTAAGAAAGCCACATCATTTTTAGTTATTTTAGGGATGAGAGACGTTATTTTTGTGGGATTTTTTTTTTCAGAGTTCACGTCTTTAAGAGGTACAAATGCAATACTGAACAGAGGAAATTTTATATCTTGTATATGCTCCAAAATAATAAGAATAAGAGGAAAAGTAGATCAGGATATAGGTAAAATTAGATTGTTTATGGTGACAGATGGAGTTCATTACACCACCCTCTATACTTTTCTTTAGTTTGACATTTTCTATAATAACAGATTAAAAAAATAAGTTTTTCAGTGAAGTTCAGAGGTCATCTGTGTAATAACAGTGTCATGGGCTTTTTATTAACTATTTTGGAAACTCAGCTTTATTTCTGGGCATTCTTCCTCAGATGTCATAAGATAGCAGTGCTAAATAATGGTCCAAGGATCTTGGAGGAACAATTTCATAAAGTGCTCTATAAAACCTGAAAAAAAATTAAAAAAGGATCTTCGAATTTTGATTTACTGAATAATCACTATGTATGACACTCATTCTCATCCTATAAGCTTATTGGCATTTGTGCAGTGACAATTAATTAGGTGGATGGCTGTATAAAAATGCATGTTGCTCTTAATTGCTATCGCCACTTTCGTTGTTTAATGTAAGTGAGAAGCTCTTAAATGCATCAGAAATCTTTCTGGATTTGCTGTCACATGGTTCCACAGACATTTCCCCCTAGAGACATGGTAATTTTGCAACTTTTAAATATTCAGCACAGATCTAATTATAAATAGTTCTCTTTCAAAAGCGATAGCCAGACTCTTGGCGCGAACCACCTCTTGTTATATTGGTAAGGGCTGACAGCATAATGACTGATGATATGTGTTAGATTCCTTCATCTCTTTTAATTAGAATTTTCTCTGCATTATCATGCTTTGTAAGTAACCAGCTCATTCTGGACAATGGCGAATGTGATTAGGAATGGTTTGAACTTTGCATAGCATCTGCAGAAACGGCCTAGCCAACCTGTGTGGTAGCCTGCATGGGGAGACGAAGAAACTTCCCCAATTCCTTCTCATTTTTTTGTTCTACCTGGGTTGGGCTGCTCAGGGTCTGAGGAGAGACAAAGAAAATAGCAGGCAATCTCAAAAGATGGAGGAATAGATGCAGAAAGAAGGCGGCAGAGGCCTTAGCATAGAGGGCAAAGAGAAGGTTAGAGAGGGCGACCATATGGAGCTATAAATCAGTAGCCACCCGGGCAACAAAGCTGACTCGGTACATCTGGTTTGTGACTCACCAGTTATTTATTGAGCACCTGCTGTGAGCACAACCCCACCATTGCCACTGTGAGAAAGTACAAAAGATGCCAGGGACCTTTACCCCGGCCTCCAACTCTAGCTGGAGGGCAGACCGCTAACAATTTATGGCCCTCCTTGAAGACAAGGACTCATCTCTTTGGTTCAACTTCATATCCCGTTGTCTGGTGTCAGGAGGAGTTCACAGTAGTGACTGTCAATAAATAACTTGCAAAGGAATGGATGGATGAATGAATAACAATATTGTGACAAAATAGTTATGGTCTCACTTGTAAAACACCCAAACAAACCCATTTCCAACTCCATATATAAATGCTGATTGGATTGTCGCATTAATACAGGAAGGATCAGAGAAGGGTGAAGGTTGGTGACAAGTCAGACTTCTGAGAAGTCTATCTTCCCAGGATTCCAACTGTGGAGAAATTAGGATGAAGACTTCGAGGGCAGAGCTGCCCAGGCCCTTACTCTTGGAACATTCCAGCAAAACTGGAAACCATCCCTTTATAGAGATGAGAAAATGATGGTAGTTAAGGAAGATGAGAGAGAGAATCAACTCTACAGGTCACACTGAAACTCAGCAAATTGGCCTTAAAATTCTCAACAAAGGAGACCATATAACTTTTCCATGGTATCATGTGGGCTGGATGCAGGGTGCAGGTGGATTTTAGGGTGCCATTTTGACAGTGTTGTGGCTAGTCCTGAGACTTTAGAAATACAAGGAGACCTGGTGTCCTGGATGTCAGTCTTTAATGTGTCCAGAAAGAAGGGATTTCT